CACCGAACGCAAAAATTTTCCAAATTGCGCAATTTGGCTAAACAAAAAAAAAAGATATTAGTATAATTACTCATCAGCGTTAGTAAGCGTTTATAAAACAAAAAAAAATTGTCGGAATGGGAATTTTTGAGCAAACACTTGTTAGCGTTTAAAAAATAAACGCAATTGAAAATTAATAGCAGAAAAAACAAAGGTGGCATTGAATAAATTTAAAAATATTATTATTTTATTTATTAAAAGTAAAAAAAAATAAAACAAAATAAAATAAAATAAAATCATATTAAATAAAATAAAATCAAATGAAATAATTTAAAGTAAATAGGAAAAAAATAAATTAAATAAAATAAAGTCAAAACATTAAAATAAAATATATTATATAATAAAATAAAATAAAACAATTTAAAGTAAAACAAAAAAACAAAAAAATAAATTACACTAAATTAAATAAATACAAAAAAATAGAATAAAGTCAAATAAAATAAAGTAAAGTATAATAAAATGAATAATAAAATAAATAGTTAATCAAATAATTAATGGGAATATAAAAAATTAAAAAGTGAAATAGAATAAAAAAAGGAAAATTCAAAAAAATTAAATAAAATAAAATGATATAATATAAACTAAATTAAAATGTAATAAAATAAAAAAGTAAGCTAAATTCAAATCAAAAAAATAACATAAAACTAAATAAAAAATAATATAATAAAATAAATAATAAACTAAGTAAATAATATATGTAAAATAAATAATAGACTAAATTAATAATAAAAATACGAAAGGCAAAGAAAAAAAAATAAAATAAAATAAAAAGATAAAAAAAATAATAATATATTATATAAGAAAATTAAGTAAAATTTAATAAAATAAATTAAATTGAATAAATAAAAAAACTTAAATTAAATAGAATAGAATATAATAAGATTTAAAAAAATTTAAATGAAATAAAAAACATAACAAATACAGAGAAAAGGAAATGTAATAAAATAAATAATAAACTAAATAAAAAATAAAAATAAAAAAAGATAATGGAAAATTAAACAAATTAAAACAAGAAAAAATAAAATAAAATAATTAAATTATTATTAAATAATAATTAAATTAAATAAATCAGATTAGAAAAATTAAAAAAAAAAAATTAATTTAAGTAGAAAAAGTAAAATAAAATAAAATAAAATAAAGAAAAATAAAATAAAATAAAATAAAATAAAATTAAATAAAATAAAGTAAAATAAAATAAAATAAAATAAAATAAAATTAAATAAAATAAAATAAAATAAAATAAAATAAAATAAAATAAATAACATAAAATAAAATAAAATAAAATAAATAACATAAAATAAAATAAGATAAAATAAAGATAAATAAAATAAAATATAAGTAAAATAAAGATAAATAAAATAAAATAAAATAAAATAAATAATATGAATAAAATGAATTACATACAGGTGGGGCTTATAATTCTTGCCGAGAGGCCACCAGATTTAGAAAAATCATTATTTTTATCTAAATTAGTGTTATCAAATATCGGAGTTTGGTCTGTACAGAGCTCGTTTAACTTCTTGAGATTTCGAAGGTATACAAGACATCTCTACAATTATATTTTGTTTATAGTTTATAGTTCTATATATATACATACACATACTATATAGACATACGTATGAGTAATTGGATAATACCACAATCCAATAGTCGTATTGGTATTAAAAACCGTAAAATCTTCATTTCCATTTATTAATTCCTGTCAATCAAGAGTTAATCTCAATTTTTATCACCTTCATTTAAGCTCTACTTAAGTATGCAGCCCAAGTCTCGACATTGTAGAGTCTGTGTGTGTGTGTGTGTGTCATAAGAGAAACCAAAAACTAGTTTGAATAATTGAAGACCAGTAGTGAGATAACTATCACAGATGCATATTTATTTTTATATGCTAATGAAATACATACATACACTATTTATACTTATTGTGTGTGTGCGTGTTTATGCTTATCGCGTACAAGAAATAATATTATATTTACACTACACATGTTTGAGTGTAGAAGAAGAAGAAACAAGAGTTGGACTTTATTTTGTATGCAAACATGTCACCAATACAATGTTGCGTTAACACAAACCGACATACAAACATACATCATATCTACAACTGTATGTGTGTATTGCGTCTTAAAAAATTTTCCATTAGCATTGGTAAGGCTGCAAGCCAAAAAGTCAAGCTGGAGTAGATAGTGTGAAATAAAAAAAAAGAAAAGAAAAGAAACAACAAAAAATAGAAATAAAAATAAAAATAATAACACGATTCCAATACAATAGTGAATATTGAAAATATGTTAAGCAAATGAACGCACATCGAATAGTCACAATAATAACAATAACAGCAACCAACAAAGTAAAGCCAAAGAGTTGGTGTATGGGTAAGTACAAAGTGCAAATTGTTTGGTAGACATAGGTATATGCCTAGGAATATACATATATACGTATATGTGCATATAAATATTTGCAAGTGCGCTGTAAATTTTTTTTTTGAATTTTTTTTTTTTTTTTTTTTTGCAATTACAAATTTGGTTTTTGTCAACTATAATCATTAATGAATTTATTTACTACCGACGGTCTGTGGTCGTCATTGCAAAATGTGGGCTTGGCAATGTTCTTTTATAGCATGTGTCAAGCTGTGTTCAGTGCACGACTTGGCAGCGCTCTAATAACTGTCGTAAAAAGTGCCTATTAATAGTGCAAGTTTTTACTGAAAGTCAGCTGCGAATTCAGGTCCGTAGGCGTTTAACAAGTAGTTCCTGAACAAGTAACGCAAAGGCTTGTATGTAAATATTTGTGTGTGTATAAAACAAGATTTTTGCCATTGTCCTTCGCACTGGTTTTTTAAGCAGGAAATTTATATTTTTTATATTTCTATGTAAAGTCTGTATATTAATGATTTTTTAAGAAATTGGCCTTCAATTAATTAAACAAAATGTTTTTGTTTAAATGTCATTGTTGGTAAGTAAAATTAATTGAATTAATTTCCACGAAAAATTTAATAATTTTTTTGCCTGTTAGAAAATATTTGTTATGCCACTAGAATGCCAAAAAAGCAATTTTACGGTTTTTCAAAAAGCGAAAAAAATTAACGAAAAATATCGATTTTTCTAAGCACATCTCGATTATTTGGTTTGTAACATTTTAATTAAGATATATATATGTAAATTAGAAACATAATTAATCAATTAGTAATTAGTGGGCGCCTTCGATTAATTAAACAAAAAATTATCGGTTTATTTTTAAACAAATTAATTGGTTTTGTTATTATTTAAGTTAATTGTATTTGAATTATTTAGTACAGAAATTAATCATTTTAATTTAGTATAATTATTCATTGATTAGGTAAACAAATTTTAATTTGTGACTACGATCAATTAGTTTAAAAAATTGTAAAAGAAAAACAAAGTAATAAATTATCGTTTTATTTTTAAAGAGATTTCGATGGATCCGTTTTTTTTATTATTTAAGTTAAATTTATAATATAAAAATTAAATATTAAATTAACAATTCTAATCAAAAGGAATTATTCATTAAACAAGTAATAAATTTTTCTAGCAAATTAATCGAATAATTGATTAATTAATGACTCATCGTCATACCCAAGAACTTTTAAAAAGAAATTAATTTTATTTCTATTATAAATTGATAATCGTTTCGATAAATCAAAAAAGTCGAAAATGGTAGTTATTATGAGTTTTATCAAAAAAATCGTTTTATGTATATTAATTTAGGATATACAATTTTTGCATTATTCATAATTAATATTTTTTTGAATTGTTGTTAATGTTTTTACAAATAAATTTTTTTTTTTAATTTCTTCATCCATTGAAAATGTCAAAAATTGCTACTACCAAAACATTTTGTGTTTATTTGTTTATTTTTGTTTATTTTTCTGATCACTTGTTACAAATGGACTTATATTTCTTCGATCCGATATAAATCTTACTTTCGATTTTTCTCTTTATATACAAAAAATAGTTTATACTGAATAAAAATATGCAATAACAAAATAATAATCACTCTTTATTACAAAAAATAATGCTGAATAATCGTTATTTCTGGGCGAAAATACATTAGAAACCGAAAAATAAAAATCTTAAACTAAAAAATTTAAAAAATTATAACTGAGCTACTAAAATGTGAATAATTTAAAGTTTTTTTTTAATATCCAGAGTAATTTAATTTTAATATCCAGAATAATTAAAATCTTTAAAATTGATATTTTAAGTTTGTGTGCGATTAATCGCTGTAAAATCTCTCAGAATTTTGAAAACATAAGCGATAACTATTGGAAATAATTTTCTGTTTAAATTAATAAAAAATTAAATTAAATTAAATAAAAAACATACGATGCCTAAAAAAAGATTCAGATAATTATTCGTCTTTAAAAATTATTTTTTTTTTTATTAAAACGGACTACAAAGCAGAGTAACTAAGACCTCTAAGGAATGAAATGTTATTAATATTATTATGAAATATTAATTTTGCACTACGTCCCATTCTCAAAATATTGTTTCAAAATAAAATTAAAAAATAAAAAAAAATAATAAAATTAAAAAATTAAAAAAAAAAAATAATAAAATTAAAAAAAAAAAAATTATAAAATTACAATTAAAAAATTCTGCGGAAGTTCGAAAAGAGTTCTTAAAGCTAAGGTCAGCCGGAAGCTAGAGATAGAGAAAGAGAGAGTGTTGTTTTCAAATCTAGTTTTGTCTAGGAATCTGAATTTATATATGATTAAACTCTATTTTTTTTACAAAGCATAATGACAGTTAATAATTTGTCATATGTTTGTCAAGCACAGAGTAAATTTTTTTCCTACAAATTCACAGAAAAATGTCGCCATCTAAAGCAGCTTATTATTATTTTTGTATAAAATAATTAAAATGTTATACGTCTAATGAAAAAAATTTTAACTATGTATGTATTAAACATTTTTTATTCTAAATATAATTTTTTCCTTTGCATACCGCTTTATTCGAGCCATATTTTTCACCGGTCTCTGCCGCCTCCAACAGATGTGCACTCTCCTCCTTAACGCCACCTTTGGCAGGCGCATTTTCTGCAGAAGTTGATGACATATTGTTTGATTGTTCTTTTTTGTTTTACTTTTTATTTGTATTTATTTATAATTTTTAATCTACGAATTTTCTGCAAATTTTTTTATACGTTCAAAATTATTTAATACTTTGCGGATAGTTTTTATATGGAATAACAAGTAGTCTTGCAGAGATTCCCTTCGCTTGCTATATAGTATAGGTAAAATTGTTTCGTAAGCTACTTGCAGTTTTGTTACACGTAACTAATAATTTTTTTCAAAAGAGAAATCTTTTTTTTTAATTTTTATATCTTTGGAATGCTCGCGTTGGAGTTTTTAGCAAGAAAAATTTGGTGGTGTCTTTAAGTGAAAAAATTTTATTTTAACTTATTTTTGAAAATATTTTCAAATCACTTATTTTTCGTTTAAACTTTGTTTTCCTTTTAATTCTTCGTTTGACTTGATTTTTTTTTCTTCAAACTGCTTTCGAGACTCCTCTTATCACTTTATATTGCATAGTTTTCTTCGTGAAATGTCTATATGTATGTTTGCACTGCTCCTTCAATGTCCTTCGAATGTTATTGTCAATGTAATTTTGTATGTTTTTACATGGAAATAGTGTTGCACTACTGCCGTCGTTGGTTGACGTTTTTCGTCTAAAATTGTTGGAATGCAGATTCGTCGCTTTTGGACTTGTCGTTCCGCTCTGACGCTCGCTGTTTACTGCACGCTATTCGGCTGTTAGGTTTATTTCGGTTTTTCGGAATGGTTTTGCTGCCGCGCTTTTATGAGCACAGGTTAATATGCATTCGTGTTTTATATACGTGTATGTATGTTTATTAAAAATATGCACGTCGTATATGCATCTAGTATCCAAATATCCTGTATCCTTAACACCCACACTTTGGCAATGAATAAATTTGACGCATGCTCTGTACTAGCTTGACATTGACGTTGTTTTATCTGCGTTATTTTTAGTCTAATATCTTGCTGCTGTTATTGCTTTTTTTGTCCTTGCTGTGGAGTGATATGTATGTATATGTTTATATAGTATATATAATATATGCCAGGCGTTGAGTTTTCGGTCGATTTCACAACAATTAGGCTTGATTGAAAAATTTTTTATTATTTTTTTTTTTATTCTCTATATGTTTTAAATATCGTCCAAACACTCCGTAACCGTTAAATTTGTGTTGGAAAATATGACGCAGCTCTTTGGAGATCCTGGCTTGACTAGTGCTTCTGTTGCGTCGTTATTCGTCTATTTTTAGTTATTGCTTACGGTAATTGTATGCGTCTGTACGTATTCCGCTTTACTTAGTATCACTGAGTATTGCTCACAGCAGTATCCTGATATGCTATTTTCACGCAGATTCAATCTATAAACTTCCTGTGCTTTGCTTTTCGCTGAGCACTTTTGCTTTTATTTCCGTTTATATGCACAAGTGTATACTTATATACATATGTACATATATATATTAGATTTTTCCGTCTACAATAACAATATGGAGTATGTTTTGTTATTATTTTTTTTACATTTATTTGCTTGCTTTCCTTTTTTCTTTCTTTTTTCTCTTCCAATTTCCAGCTTTAGCGCATAAAATCGTACGTTATTATTCTACACCGCGCGAATGCTTACAAGTAAATGCTGAAAAACTCGCCTCTCGCATCAAATATAAAAACTTTTTACCGCCAACCACTGTAGTGTGCCGGTTGGTGGCAAAATAACACACGCATACAACTTTATAGACGCTTTTAATGCGTGTTATTGTATTAGTATAGACGACGCATCTGGTGGCATGAATAGCGCACAGTGAAAAGCTTGTAGTATACATATATAAATGAGTATAAATATACATATTGGAGGCATTTATGAAAAAATAACACAACTCAAAAATTTTCAAAAATGAATTTTTGCCCAAAAATCAGTTGATTGAAGCCAACAATTTTTCTAAAGTCTCGAATAGCGAAAAATACCGTTATTTTATAAATTTAAGCCATGCCGTTGATTGTAAAATGTGAAAGGAATTTTCAAAAAGGATTGTCAACATTATTTTTGAAATCTGAATTAAAAAAATATCATTTTTATGCAGGCTTTTTCCTTTGCCTTGGTGCGGAGGGTCGTGGGTTCGCATACTGCGTAACAACAAAAATCTATAGAAAATTTTTTGCTAAATCCTAACGCCCCTAGCCAGGGAATGTCGGAGCGTTTGTGAGTATTTCTAGCTTGAAAGAGAAATTCATCATAAAATCCTATTCGAAGGCGGTTTGAAAAATAACTAAAGTTGGTGGAGGACTTTTGGCAGAGACGAAAATTCTTTCAGAAGAATACAGGGTACCGTTAAATAAAAAAAACTCAAATATCGTCTGCAAAATAGGTTCCTGCCAAAGTATTACACTTATGCCAAGGAACAGTTCAATCATCAAATTATTTATCAAAAACATTTTCTGTATTCAACTACAGCTTTAGCCGTGAATTTTCATTTAGGTCTTCTAAGGACTACAAACGGTTTTGAAAAAGAAAAGTCTCCTAGACCCGTATATGATGAATATTGTTAAATTTTGGATCAGAATTTCATTCATAATCTGTTGTGAGATTATGCAGCAAAATCCTAGAGAATTCTTTCGACAAATCTCGCCTTGTCGACGAGCTTACTCTCTATAGCTCTGCTCAAATAATACCGCTGAACCTTCGGTAAGAATCCCATGTGCCCTACACAGCGACAGTGAAAGAAAACAGTCAACATAACCTTGAATTCGACTTTGAAGTGATTTTTTTCGGTTACACATCACTTCGGAAACGACGTTTGGCAGTTTCTTGACTGATTCACGCTTACAATGTGACTGTGGAATTGGAATTGATCCATTATAGACTCTCTTCAGTGACCTTTAAGCGTTTGAGTTTTTTAATAAAATACAGGCTTGTAGAAACTAATCGCGCAACAGTACATTTCATGCCGAAACATTCGTATATAATGTTTTTTCTGAGACACAAAAGATCACAGTTTCCAGTATGTGTCCTTTTTTGGTAGTTTGTTATCCGAAATTCTTGAAAACTCCAGAAAATTTGTAATATTTTGAGTTATACCATTTTTATGTAAAATTCCTCTGTACGCTTTGCCTGCTTGCTGCTCACATAACGTTTGTAAATCGCGTGCGCCTGATATTCTACTCACGAGCGCCTCGCTCAGCATCGTACACGCCCTCTCGCATACCTTTACGCAAACAAGTTATAATAGAGTAAAATATAAACATACATGCATATATATTATATGTAAGTACGCAGCTACAAAACAGGCCAAACCGCGCACACCTCCCAAATGGCAGCTGCAAAAGCTAGTTAACCTAACTCTGCTTTGTTGTTTCTCCTCTGCAGCTGCTTGTGCTCGCCTGACAAGTCATTCACCACTCGCATATATACATACGTATTATATATATAAGTATGTATATTTCATACATACATACATTTTAAGCTTGGCACGTCGTTTTTGCGGAGGGCTGGTTCGGTGTCTGCGCGTTGTTGCTGCTGCTTTAGTAGAGTTATGAAAATGAGCGGCGCTGAGTGGGTAGCGGCGTTTTACAGCGGCATGTGGGCTGCACAACAGCGATAAGAGCTTCAGTATAGTAGTATATGTATATATGTAGTTTCATATAGTTTCGGTGGATATTCAAAATTTGGTTTTTGTTTTAGTTTTTTTGTTTTGGTTTTATCGCATGAGTGTATTGCTTTGCGCTTTGAAATTGCCTACGTCATGCTCTCAGTGCGTTAAAGGTGATTTTATATGCTCGCGTGTTGCGCTCAGCAAATAAAATCTATAGTAGGTACGAGCCCCTCTTTTTTGCGAGTTGTTGTTGTTGGCAGTGCAGTAAAAAGCATATGTGCATGCATGTGCGTACACACATACATATGTATGCATTCCCTTTTTTATAAAAATTAATCGATTTACTGCCATTTTTGGTGAGCAGAATTTCTTTTGGAAAAAATAAATAAATAAATAAAATCAAATAAAAATAAAAATAAAGAAAAAGAAAAAGTAAAAATAAGTTTTTCAAGTATTTTTATACGTGTTGAAACCGGTAATGAAAATTACGAAAATACGAAGTTGCATCCTTTACAAAAATAATGCCATTTTTGGAGAGAAAGTACATTTCAAACAGAACGTGAAATCGAGGCGCTGGTGGTTGTATTATTATTTCTGGCGTTTCTGTTGTTTAACGGAATTGCGCTAAAAAGTGATGATGCAAGTTCTTAAAATTATTTTATATACATACATATATATATTTGTTTTATATTACACCACGCTCTTTTGATATTGAATAAGCGCAAATTACTAATTTCAAAACAATTGGCAACTTGGTGTCTAACTTGGTGTAAGCCAATGCCGAAAATAGTATGAATTTTTAGACGTCAATGAAATAGTTTTTTTTTTTGGGTTTTTTCATGGAACTGTTTCAGACCATATATTTTTTGGAAACAGTGAAAAAATTGCAACAACAGTTTTGGACAATTAGTTTTTTATTTAAAATATATTGGATAGTCATATAAATCTGCAGTAAAATTAGATAAGTATTTTTTTGAATTTAAATAAAAAAAAAATATTGAAAATAAAAATAAAATTATAAAATAATAAAATAAAATAAAAAATTTTGTTTTTTATAAATTCGAAAACCTCACATACTGCTAATAAAATTGTTATGTAAAAAATAATTGAAATCAACTTTTGTGCAAAAGAATAGTTAGAGGATTAAATTATTCAAAAAAAATATTATTCAAAAAAATTGTGCCAAAAAGCAAAACTTTCAATTTCAGTAGTAAACATCTTGTTATTTTTTTCATATCTAAAAACTCGCATTAATCAAACAGACACATGTATGTATGTACATAAATATTTATCTAAGAACCTCTGTGTTTACATTCATACATATATGTGTATGTATCTATGAACCTATAAACATATGTAATTACGGTAGTATTGCGCCATTTTCTAACAATGAATCACCGTCATTAACAAATTGTTTGTGTTTTGCCAGCCAAACAGACTTAAGCAACAATAAATAAAAATATTTTGAAGGTGTGCTCCACATTACAGACATACTACATATATGTACATACATATATATGTAAAATGTATGTTTTTGTGGTATTTGGCGTATAATTCGCAGAATTTCATAATATTTTATGGAAATCTTCCAAACATTGAAATTTGTAAACAAATTCTGATCACATAGATTGAGAGAAAAGTGTTAAATAATGGTAATATTAGAAAAGCTTAAGCGCTTTTATCGCTCACATGATTTTGTTAGGATTTAAATTTTTGGTTTTCGGCATTATTTGTTATCGGTATATTATTATATTTGGATTTTTTCCAGCTTAATTTCAAATTATGGTATCAAAGATTATTCATAGGTACATATTTCTAAATTTTGCCGATAATAAGTTAATTCCGATATAAAGCCGTGCATACATATTTGAAAACTAAAGAAAATGTTAGGCAACGGTAGCATGAAAAATATTTGCATTTTACTTAATAAAAATAAATAACAATATTAATTAATTTTTATCAATTAAAATGTACGAGTTTTGCTTTTAAGCCAAATTATTATCTCTTGATAATTGCGTAAATAAAATTTGCTTGCTTATACATGTACATGCATCGACATATACCAAGATTGTGCATATGAAAAAAATTAAATCATGCATTACATATGAACATATGTATCTATGTATTACAAGTAAATATATCGCATAATCCACGACAGGTGTCAAGGAGTCTTCAAAGTCAATACATCTTATAAACATACATACATATATATATAGGATATAAAGTTACATAAGTACACACATGCATACATATCTAAATAGTATTCAAATGTCGCACTAAATTGCATATTTTGCGTTGTAAATATTGCATATTTTACAGACAAATGCATAAGTCATACATACATCTATGGGTTGGTTTGAAATTAATATGGAAATATGTACGTTCGTTAGAGTGAACTGATTTCATTAATTATTATTTTATTATACTTTAATTTATTTATTATTACTTTCAATTTAATTTAATTTAATTAATTTTATTTTATTTCATTTCATTTTAGATTATTTTAATTTATTTTTTTTTTATTTAATTTAATTTAATTTAATATAATTTTATTTTATTTTATTTTATTTTATTTTATTTTATTTTATTTTATTTTATTTTATTTTATTTTATTTTATTTTATTTTATTTTATTTGATTTTATTTTATTTTATTTAATTTATTTAAATTATTTTATTCATAAACCTCGGTCACCCTAATAGGTGTGTAAAATAATTTCCGTCGTAACAAATCTGTCATGACTTATTAGTATAACTAACCTCAAATCGAATATCGTATAACACTGAACAAATGCATAAATTTACTCGCCTAGAGTTTTCTAGCAGTTATTGCATAATGCTATAGACAAAAATTATATAT